CTCACGCTCCCACAGGGGGAGCTCTGCTCAGCCAGAAGCCAGGCTGATGGCTGCCAGTACAGCGGTGGTGATGGCAGCCTCTCCCGCCTCAGCAGCGCCAAGGATGTCTGACTGCAGCTTAGGCCTGCTCCCCATTGGCAAGTGGACATCCCCTGAGGGCTCCTGGGCTGCCAGAGGGATGTCTGACTGCCAGCTTAGGCTCAATCCCCTGGGGAGCAGGCCTAAGCCAGCAGGTGGTCATCGCCCAAGGGGTCCCAGACTACAAGAGGGCACGGGCCAGGCTGAGGGACCCCCCTGAGTGCACAAATTTTTGTGCACCAGGCCTCTAGTTATATAATAAAATATTACAGTGTAGGCTCTGTAAGCTCTGTAGCAGATGATCCACAAGCACAAGTTCATTTTATTTTTTTAATGTATTTATTTTTAGAGAGAGAGGAAGGGAGAGAGAGCAAGAGAGAAACACTGATTTGTTCCACTTATTTATGCATTCATTGGTTGATTCTTATATGCTCTGACTAGGGATCGAACCTGCAACCTTGGCAAGTGGGGCAACACTCTAACCCAGCCGTGGGGGAGGGCAGGTAGGGGCAACCAAGCCAGCAGGCAGAAGTGATTAGGGGCAATCAGGCCGGCAGGCAGAAGTGGTTAGAGCAGCTGTAGACAAACTACAGCCCACGGGCCGGATCCAGCCCGTTTGAAATGAATAAAACTAAAAAAAAAGACCATACCCTTTTATGTAATGATGTTTACTTTGAATTTATTTTAGTTCACACAAACACTCCATCCATGCTTTTGTTCCGGCCCTCCGGTCTAGTTTAAGAACCCACTGTGGCCCTCGAGTCAAAAAGTTTGCCCACCCCTGCTCTAACCCAATGGGTAGTACAAGTTCATTTTAGATGAAAGCATTGGTACATCAATTTAGGAAAATCCAATCTTTTAAAAGCATGCCTTTTTACAATGGAATCCTTTTATTAATTTCAAATGACAAATGTACAAGCATTTGATTTTGAGAGAAATCTTCAGGAACAATGCCTGTTACATAAAATAAGGTATATCTTTAAAGTTCTTTCATACATAACCTAGCCAGTTTGGCTCAGTGAACAGAGCATTGGCCTGCAGACTGAAGGGTCCTGGGTTCAATTCAGGTCAAGGGCACGTACCTTGGTTGCAGGCTCCCCCCTGGCCTAGGCCCTGGTCGGGGCTCATGCAGGAGGCTACCAATCCATGTTTTTATCACACTGATACTTCTTTCTGTTTTTCCCTCTCTCTTCCACTCTCTCTAAAAATCAATGGAAAAATATGCTTGAGTGAGGATTTAAAAATAAATAAATAAATAAATGTAATTTAAAAAAAAAAAAAGCCTAGCTAGTTTGGGTCAGTGGGTAGAGTGACCTGGGTTACAGGCTCAATCCCTAGTAGGGGGGCGATATGCAGAAGGCAGCCAGTCAGCGATTCTCTCTCACCATTGATGTCTCTCTCTCTCTCTCTCTCTCTCTCTCTCTCTCACTTCCTCTCTGAAATCAATAAAAGAAATTTAAAAAAATAATAAAGTTCTTTCATACATTTAGTCACCTTTAAGCAGGCACTGTGCTTGGCAACTCTGAACAAAATAAAAGTCTAAGAAGCTAGCATTTTAGTTGGGATAAGCCTAATTAACAGGCAAACACAGTTTTGCCTTTATGAAGTCTAGCCAAGAGTTATGGAGGCTAATGAAGCATATTTTTCTGTAGGCAGAAGTGTACAAATTATACTTACCACACTCTATTTCAATAATGATTGTCATAGCATAAAACATCTATGTGAACAGATTCAGGTCTTTTTCCTTAAAAAAACAAAACAAAAACAAAATAAAAACATTAAGGATTTCATTGTAATAAAAGAATATCAACTCCCAAATCTCTTTCTGTACATATGTGATGATTCATTGTTACCAAGCCTGGGTTGAAAAGACTTGTTCCAAAAGAAAACCACTTTGAAAAGAAAAAGTAGGAATGAGAAAGAGCAGTTTTATTTTTTTTCAACTTATTTCATTAAAAATTTATTTTTAGCGCTCATAAATGAGTAAATTCCAAAATAGCAATACAGAGTACAGTGGGGCCTTGACTTACGAGTTTAATTCGTTCCGTGACGGAGCTCGTAACTCAAATTACTCGTGTGTCAAATCAATTTTCACCATTACAATGACAGGTGATGCTGCGCTGATGTGGCGTTCACTGTGACATCCGCTGCACCAACTAGCGGTGGGGTATCTGAAGCTGGCTCGTAACCCGAATTTTAGTTCACAACTCAAAGCAAAAAATCGGCAAGAGATGGCTCATATCTCGAAAAACTCATTAGTCGGGACACTCGTAAGTCAAGGCCCCACTGTATTTAAGAACATTTTAATATTTCTACTCAACATTCTACCTTTGTTTTGCTTTCTATAAACAAATATACTGTATTAAGACAACAATACTCTTACCCCTAAGTTCAGTGCTAAGTGCTTTCAATGATCTATTTTGAGCACATAATAATGCAGAGACAATTTTCTTGAACATGTTATTTCCAGTCAGAGCTTAGCAATTACTTTATTTTTTTTTTTAAATATATTTTATTGATTTTTCACAGAGGGGAAGGAGAGAGATAGAGATAGAGAGTTAGAAACATCGATCAGCTGCCTCCTGCGCATCCCCCACCGGGGAAGTGCGCGCAACCCAGGTACATGCCCTTGACCGGAATCGAACCTGGGACCTTTCAGTCCGCAGGCCGACGCTCTATCCACTGAGCCAAACCGGTTTCGGCAGCAATTACTTTAGCTTCACATTATTCTGTCACAAATGATAACCAAATGGCCTAAGTAGCTCACATCATAAAGCTATTTTAAGCCAAGCCAATGGTATGTATAAAGTTAATATAAAATAACAAGTATACTAGTTCACATTTGTTTTGCACCTACTAGAAATATGCCAAAATAATAAGATTTATTAAAGAATGAGGTCCTTGGGCAAAGGGGGAAGAGGAGTCATATAATCAAAAATTATTAGAAAAACATCGTAGGTAAAAAGAAATCTGCCTACAATGTAACCAAATCAAGGAGGAAACGGGAGTACAGCGTTAGGGTTGATGTCATTCAGGAAAATACGCTTACCATTCCACCACAAACCTGTTCACTGCAAGAGCTCAGGACCAGGCCCTCCACTCTATTATTCTCCCACTAATTTTCTTTACATGGAACATAACCTACGTTTATGATAACAGAACACTATACTGCTACTTAATCTGATAGCAAACAATAGAAAAACAATGAAATGGTTAGGGCTGGGCTGACTTTTGGCTAGCTCAATACCCCTGAAAACAGGGGCAAAATGAGTCATTAAGAAACAGCATTCAAAGAGCACTGTGTTATGTAATGTGATTTATAAAACAGGTAAAATTCTGTAACTGTCGATAGAAAAAGCCATATTTGAAAATGAGGAATGTTTTGATGCTGATTTTTTACCAAAATGGTACCCCACGCCACGTAAGTTGGAACAAATTGCAAACACACTTACTTGCATCATCACCTCAGTTTAATAATCCAATATATGACAAAAAAGACAAACAATGAAAACAGCATCATATAGCACATCAGCTTTGTTTGGCTCCCTCTGGATAAAATCTTCAGTTTTCCCATAGTTCTACCTAGAAATCCAGTTGTGGAATCAAATTGTGACTCCATTTCAGCTAGTAATTTATTTTGAGTTTTAACTTCATGGCCTATCTCAATGGAAAGATCTTTCACAGCCTTTACTTTGCGCCTCAGGCTTTCGGTGTGTCTGTCATTTTCTTCTTCACAGGCACTATATCCACTATTAGCAGAGCCATAGTTCCTATAGCTGCCAGGAGGTACACCTGCGCCCAGGCCTGCGTGCGTCATCCTGGCAGAAGATAGAGGGAAAAGGCAGGCGGGGGTGAGGCAGGAAGGGCCAGGGGTCGCCGGACCTCGTCTTCAGGACCAGGGTCCGGCGAATCACCAACTTCTTCCCCTGCAGCGCCACGACAGAAACAGCAGTTTAAAACAGAAATTACACACGTAGTTGTTTGGGACCTCTGCTCTTTTCTGCAAACACGGTTTAGTCTTATATTCATCAAAGTCAGTGCTTTTCAACTGGTGTACCTCAAGAATGTTTAAAGCATCAATACCTGACCTGTTTTCCTTAGATTGTCAAATTTAAAAAATGACAACAGCCAACACAAAATAGTTTGGTGTGAATGAATCAAAATTATACCTATTTTTTGGTCAGATGGGCAAAATATGTATTGTTTTGTTGTGCCTAAGTCTTCTAGTAATGAGCTTATATGTGCCAGAAGATGAAAAAGGCCGAAAGTCGCCGACCTAAGTATTTAGAGCAGGTCTGCAACTCAACTGCCTTCCAGGAGCCTGACTGGCGCTGAACGCGGGGTGCAGGCGGAGGGTGGGGGAACCGAGGGGCTGTGCCAAGTGGCTTCCCAACACTGGCCCACAGAGGGCAGCCAAGTGCGCCAGGCAGCAAGCCTCAGCAGCTCTTCCCGTTCCTCAAAATAATCCAGACACTCACGCAAAACTCCCACTTTTAAACGTTTGCGATTAATCAGGATATCAAACCACCAGGCAGGACGAAATGCCTGCGAACCGAGGCTGGACTTCCGAGGGGGGTCAGAACTGACGCTATCTGGGGAGTAGATATCTGGGGAGCCGCCCGCGGCCTGAGGCCCATTGGACTAATCCTGTTCGGAAGGACTGGGTTGGCCCTTGAACCGCACCAGCCCAAGTTTTAGGGAGAGCAAATGAGCGAGGGTTTGGGGGGTGGACACCTGCCCCTCCCCGCCCAGCACCGATCGGTTATGAGTATGTGCTTATGGGGACGACACTGACAGCACGTGCACTAAGTGATCGGGGAATGCGACCGTTCACCAGGGTCCGTTCCCAAGTGTCGGTGACCACGTGTGGCCCCCGAGGAGGACCGCGCAGTCCTCCCGTCCGCTTACCTGGCTTGGCTCACGCGGCCCGGGAAGCGAGCGCGCAGGGCGCGTCTGCCACTCGCCACTCGCCCTGCGCGTCTATTCCCCGCCGCCCGAGCGGAGGCTGGAGAAGCGCTGGCCCCCTGGCGGCGGCCCCGGCGGCGGGGACCTCGGTGCGGGCGCCGCCCTCCTTCCCAGCCGCGCTTCCGCTCACCGGCCCTGCGCTTTCTTAAAGGGGCAGGAGGGGCGAAACCAGAGGGCGCCCGGACCTCGCGTTGGGAGTCAGGGGACGCCAAGTTCTGATTTCCAAGGTATTCGTTAGGAAGCCCTTTAGGATGCTTTGTGCCAATCGCACTTCTAGGCGCCGGACAGAGTGGCTTGCCAAATAGAGTATGCACCCTTGATGATGCTTACATTGAACTGGATTAAACCATAATGGTAATGTTAATAAATGTACCATCTAAATCTGTTTGCAATGTAAATCAGCCAAGTTCTGGACCTAGATATCCATTTCCCAATTGGACTCAGGTATCCCACTGGCCCCTGAATTCAACACATTCCAAAATTAACTCACCATCTCACCAGATAACAATTAAAACTTGCTTCGCGCCTGCCAAAGGGGGAAAAATTGTCCCAAACCAAGAACTAGGCAAACCATGTTTCTGCTTCTTACTTGGTAGTTTCAGAAATGAACGGGCAGTCACCTGTCGCTTGGGTTCTCTCTTCTGCCGTTAGATGGGGTTTCTGCTTTCCCTGTAAACAGAACGAAACTACTATCCTATTAACAGTCCCAGGTGCATCCTGACCATCTGCTTCTTAGATGGCATATTTATTAGGGATAAGCTGCACACGTGGTATTTCAGAGTATTCTGCTCTCCATTTCCTCTATAACAGTGGTTCTCAACCTTCGTAATGCTGCGACCCTTTAATACAGTTCCTCATGTTGTGGTGACCCCCAACCATAAAATTATTTTCGTTGTTACTTCATAACTGTAATTTTGCTACTGTTATGAATCCTCATGTAAATATCTGATATGCAGGATGTATTTTCATGGTTACAAATTGAACATAATTAAAGCATAGTGATTAATCACAAAAACAATATGTAATTATATATGTGTTTTCCGATGGCCTTAGGCGACCCCTGAGAAAGGGTCATTCCATCCCCGAAGGGGTCGCGACCCACAGGTTGAGAACCGCTGCTCTATAATTACCAGTATGGTGTTTTTATGACTGTGAATAAAACTGTGTTCATTAATTTAGTAGCTACTTTTTAAAAAAATCGCTGCTGATGTAAATCTTTGTTTTCTCAACTATAAGTTCTCATTTCCATACACTAGTATTCACCAACTAGAGGCCCAGTGCACGAAATTCGTGCACTGGTAGGGCTGCTGGCTGGGCATTCCCTCCCTTCCCCCGGCCACCTTCCCCCTGCTGCTGCTGCTGATGGTCACCCTGATGGTCATCCCCCACTGGGGATGTGCCCGCAACCCAGGTACATGCCCTTGACCGGAATCGAACCTGGGATCCTTCAGTCCGCAGACCGACTCTCTATCCACTGAGCCAAACTGGTTTCGGCCTAAGACTTGTTTTAACCAGCTTGTGTTCTATCCCAGTAAATGGCAGGAACATTCAGTTATTGCCCAAGAAACCAGAAAGAGGAGGCAGGTCTAATATTTCAACAAAAGAGTATTTCCAATAAAAGTTTTGGTGCTCATCACTGAAGATGAATTTAATAATGTGAAGACACCTTATCTAAAACTTGGAACTAGACTAAAAAGATTGCTAAATATCCTTTCCCCTTCTTTCTAGTTTTTTCATTGATTCACTTTCCATCTCCCCCCTCTTGCCCCACACACAGTCTGTGCCATTGTCTTATTTCCTCCTTGTGAGAGCTTGCCTGTATTCCTGTAACTGGTCTCCCTCTTCAATCCTGCCTTCCTCTAACACATGCTTTATACTGAAGCTCAAATATGTGTGTTTTCCTGAATTTACATTTTTACAGTCCAAAAAGGGCCTTACATTCCTATAGTCCCAAATAAGACACCTGGGATTCTGTTGTTTGGTATTGGTGTATTGCTGTTTTTAAATTGAAATAAAATTTTAATTGCTTTTCTCAAAATTGACCTACATGCAACGAAGCGGACTTATTACCTGATTATTTGAGCTATCTTCTGACCTTGTGACTGGGGGTCTAAGAGGAATCATCCCAAGATGTCCCTCTGTGGTATGCATATTGTTTTGAGCTAAAGGCAACTTTAGCCACAGGCTCAAGAGAAACTTCTTACTTGCCTAGAACCGTGGTCGGCAAACTGTGACTCTCGAGCCACATGTGGCTCTTTGGCTCCTTGAGTGTGGCTCCTCCTAAACCTTAGGAGTACCCTAATTAAGTTATTAACAATGTACGTACCTATATAGTTTAAGTTTTAAAAAATTTGGCTCTCAAAAGAAATTTCAATCGTTGTACTGTTGATATTTGGCTCTTTGACTAATAAGTTTGCCGACCACTGGAGAAGAAATATGAATTAGAGGCCTTGCCCGTAAGAGATTATCAGAGATAACTTCCTTTGACTTATCTTAGGGCAGGCAAACTATTTACTAAAGGCCTGCTGTTCTTATCCTCCTGCAATGATCTTTTGAAGCCCTCAAGGCCCCTTACCTCATCCCTAGTTCAGGATGTCATATATTCATGTTTCCTTTCTGTGTCTCAACCTCTCATGCATGCGGGGGATCTCTGATTCTCTTATGCATGCGGGGTTCCTATTCTTTTTTTGTTTGTTTGTTAATCCTTGCCAGAGGTTATTTTTCCATTGACTTTTAGAGAGAGTGGAAGGGAGGGGGAGAGACAGAGAGAGAAACATCAATGTGGATGTGCGAGAGACACATTGATTTATTGCCTCCCACACACACTTTGGCCAGGGCTGGGGATCCAGCCTGCAGCTGAGATACACGCCCTTGACTGGAATAACACCCAGGACCCTTTAGTTCTTGGACCAATACTCTATCCACTGAGCAAAACCAGCTAGGGCCCATTCTTACGTGTGTATTAAATTCGGTTATTTTCTTTTGCTAAATTGTGTCATGTCTGTTTGATTACTAGACCAGCTGGAAGAACCTTGAGGGTAGAGGAAAGCTTGTTTCCTTCCCCACAAGATTTTTGCCTTTAAACATCAGCCTATATTTTTGTTCAGAGAGCCAGTTCTCTGATAACTGATCTCTCTTGCAAGTGCAAGTAAAAACAAGTTTATTTCATACTCAACTTTTTCTATAAAGGTTTTTTTGGAGGAGGGGACACGTTATTCAATTATACTTATTAGCTGTATGACCTCAAGTACATTATTAAACCTTCCTACTTTGGCATAAGAATTATTTTGAACTGAAGACATTTGAGTTCCTGAAATCCCTTATCTGCCTAAAACAGGGCCTCCCCAAAGAAGTCAGTTGTCATAATCCTTCTGTCCAGGAGCAACTCTTATCTTGTTGACATGAAAAGTAGGTACCACACCCAAACAGATGTCTTCACCTGACTATCTCCCATCTATTCTCCTAAGGAAGAACTTATCGCTTTCTCCCTTTATCTTTCCAGAAAGTCATTCCCATAAATGCCTTTTCTCCTCTTCCCCGTTACCTACTAAGTTAGGTATATAAGCCAAATTCTGACTGCCCCTTTGAATTACTCATCACTAAATTCTTCTATATGTGTGTGTGTTGCATGTGAAAATTCTGGTTTTTCCCCTCATAAATCAGTCTTTTGTCAGTTTAATTCACTTGTCCCAGACACTGAACATAAGAGGGTAGAGGAAACTTTTTCCTCCCCTACACTAAACGTCAATTTTCTTGTCTGTAAAATAGTGATGATGATGATAATGTATTGGAGAATTTAATGAGACAAAAGTAAAATGCCTAGCACAGTTCCCGGCATACAGTACATGCTTGGTAAGTGCACTATTACTGTGGTTATCCTGATTGGAATTATGGAGATAGTGTTGGCTAAGGAGCAAGACTGGAGGCTGAAAATCAGGTTTTTAACTAAGAGGATCAGATTTGAGTTTTGGAAAAACATTTTAAGCTGCAGGTAGCAAACAGTTAGGAGAGAGGCAGGACTGAAGACAGGGAGACCACCGGTTCAAGGATATTGTGGTCATCCAAGCAAGGAACAATGAGGTCAGAACTGTTACCGGGAAACCCCGGGGTGGGCTCAGGCTGCCTGTTGCAATGTCCACTAACGGAGGCAGGGTTAAATCATATAAGGCGTTTATTGAGAAGGCCAGCCAACCAAGAAGATAGGGAGCTTACACACACCCAAAACCTGTCTTACAGCAGGTTTATATAGGAAAAATGGACTGAGGTGAGGTTGGGAACAGAATGCGATTACATGCAGTCCTGGAGGTCAGCAGAATTCAACCATTGTTCTTGGTTGTCAGGCCATGAGATGATGTCTTGGTTCCTGGTGGGGTTGGCCTGGTCATGTTTAATGGCTCTGCTTGCTTGCTGGGTACAGTGTACTAGTACATTGTCTGAAGCTGAATCACCTCCTCAATCACTTTGTTGCAGGTGTACAGGACTGAGAAATGAAACTTACAAAAGAAAAACTTAATCCTCTGTTCCCATATAAGGAACTTAACCCTCAACCCTCTGTTTCCATACGTATATGTACTTTAGGATTTCAAAATATGATTATTTTTCAGATTAATTCAGGTGCTCCATCTATCAGACTATAAGTCCCCCTCTATTAAGAACTAAGGCAATTGCAGTCCAGATGGAAAGAATTGGACACATCTGCAAATGATGCAAGAAAAGCTACTAGCAGGAATTGGAGACTAATTAAATATGCTTGCTTAATTGTAATGATAGACAAAGGGCAAGATGTGAGTTTTTCTTTTTCAACTTTACCTACCTGTGCTCTTACCCACCATGCTATCTGATTATCTTCTCCTTAGCTTAAAATCCTCCCTAGCTCCCCAGGCCTTCTATATCAAAGCCAAATTACTAATCGCAGTTTCCCGGGACAAGTTACCTATCTTGCCTTGTTTCAAAACCCTCCTCTTCTCCCTTACAATTTGCTTGTTTTTGTTGTTGTTGTATTTTTTGCACAGGACCTGTTCT